ACATGCAATGTTTCGCCACAGGAGCTGGAACTCATTATGACCAACAAATACCAATTTTTAGACAAATCCGTTAAAAACTGTGGCAAAAATAATCAAAATATCGAATATCGGGAGGTACCATTATATGAAGGCTATACCAAAACGTGGACCTATATATGCTATGTTTTGCCACACATACAGGGACCTGTTATGACCTACAAATACCAATTTTCAGACAAATCCGTTAAATAATGTGGCATAAATCATCAAAATACCGAATATCGGGAGGTACCGTTATATGGGGACTATACCAGAACGTGGACCGATATATCTCATTTTCAATACCAACCATCCTAGACACAATAACAATTGCTCTGCTAAATTTTGGCGCTCTACGTCAAATAATGTGGGCTGTATCGTGATTTCAACAGACAGACAGACGGACAGACAGACAGACAGACAGACGGACAGACAGACAGACGGACATCGTTAAATCGACTTAGAATTTTATGCTGATTATGAATATATATACTTTATGGGGTCTACGACGAATATTTAAGGATGTTACAAACGGAATGACAAAGTTAATATACCCTCCTTTCCAAGGTGGAGGGTATAAAAAATATGACAAAAATAAATTCAAGGTTTATATGAGTTTATGCAAATTCTCCTAAAAATCAACTTTTTAGAACAAATTTCACATAGAGTTACCAAACAAATGAAATTCCTATTTCCATTCTATATTTAGAGAATATTTGTTTCTAGGTAAAAAAAAACGCGAAAATATTTTCCAATTTTTTAAGAATTTTTTTTTTGGTCTCTTTTTTGAAACCTTGCATGAAAGTAACGTACAACATAATTTTTGATGAAAAATGTTCAAAGAGAAAATATTTTACACCAAATTTCACTATAAGTCTCAAAACAACATTTTTATGTAGGTAAAATAGTTTTTTAGAAAATTCCATTCGAAATTTATGTATTACAACCAAAAATTTTGTATTAAAGTTCTTTACTGCTAAATTATCATGTTTCCATCCTAGGCCAAAATTTCCCTTAAGACATAATTTTTTCGTAAAAGTATCAAAGCAACAAATATTCTAGAGCAAATTTCATAATGAGTCTCTGAAGAAAATATAGTTCAATTCATTACTTTGTAATGGTAATAGTAGCTTAGATGGATTTTATATTTTTCCTCTACGTTTTCTAAGGCAATTACTACCACAAACTTTATACTTTACTAATAACAAATCCTATTATATTTTTTTTGAGGCCGAGTCCTTGTCCTTCCCCTACTGATGGCTCTGGGCCTAGAATTGAAAATTGTGTCGATAGCTGTAACAATTTCTTTAGGTTATGTATTACAAGTTGAAATTATATGTTCAGGTGTTTGGCTGTTAATCTCCCTTAATACTTCATTTTTGGCGAAAGTGTCATAGGAAGAAATGTTGTGGATTAAATTTCATTATTACTTTGTAAAGGTAAAAGTATCTTAAAAAGATTTTACATTTTTTCTCGACGTTTTGTAAGGCAATGACTGAAACAAACTCCATACCGTACCAATAACATATGCTATTATAATTTTATTTTGAGGCTGAGTCCTTGTCCTTCCCTTATTGTCGTCCTGGGCCTAAATTCCAAAATGATGTCCAAAATATGCCACAATTTTTTATGTTACCTAATTCGTATAGAAAATTAGATACCACCTTCCCCTACCCTTTCTCCCCAAGTAATTTATTAATCCCTTTCCGTTAAATGGGAGTAGTATTTTCGCAATATTTTGTATTTTTCCTTTCAAATGGAAAACAAAACCTCCTCGTTTATTTTTATGCATAAATAAACTTGCAAGTACCTATCGAGGTAAAGCAAAAAAAAAAAAAAAAAAAAAAAAAAAAATGCGGCTACCTCCCTAAACCTACATTTATCACAAACAAATGTATGTGTAATTCATACACACACACATCATTTAGTGTGTCTGTGGCCAAACACAAAACGTTTTACAATTCACATTCAAAAGCTGGTTCAAACTAAAACTTGGCTGGCTTTTGGAGGGCTTTGAATGCAAAGCGAACTTATATTTAAATGCAGGGGGCTGGCTAATATAATTTTAATATACACACATGCATTTGTAATCTTGTATATATGTATGTGTATGTACTGAATGTATGTACTCATAAAATGAATGTCATGTATTGTTTTGTTGTTGTTCGTTCTTTTTTTTGTTGTCTATGGCTACATGCAATCTAGCAACAAAAAAATGCAAGTACAATGCGTTCCTTAACGAAAAAATGACTGTTGGTGGGTCTAACTTTTTGTTTCTCTCGGTTTTTGTGCTTTTATTGTACTGTTAAATGCGATGACATCGAACGGAAATACGCAATACAAAACTATGAGAAAAAAATTGCATTTTCATTCAAATAAATCGACGAAAAACATTGGCTGGATTTCAAATAGAGAAAGGGAAACTTTTTTTGGGTGACGCGAAGGCATGACGGAATTTTAGAAATTATTTATAAGACGACGGTATACAGGGTGAAATAAAAAAAACTGCAAAAAGCCAAAATTTTTACATTTTGTTTTTTTAATATTTATTGAATGAAAGCAAAAAATGTCGGAAATAGCATCAAATTTTAGAACATGTTTAGATTTGTTCGAATTGATCACCTTTGGCACGAATTATGGCCTTTAAATGGCCAATGAAACCGTCACACGCTGTCCGAATGATGCTCTGCGGTATTTTGGCCCATTCCCGGCGAAGCGCTTGCTTGAGGTGATCGACACTTTGTTATTTTTTAGTGCCAACCTTGCTTTTCAAAATACTCCAGACACAATAGTCCAATGGATTGGTATCTGGAGATTTTTGTGGCCATCGTGTGCTGGAAATGAAGCGAGGAACCTGATTTTGTAACCATTCTTGGGTGGCGCGTGCTGTGTGCGATGGTGCTGAGTCCTGTTGGAATGTCCAAGGTCTGCGGCCAAAATGTTTGTGTGCCCAAGGCTTTAAAACACCCTTCAGAATATTTTATTCGGAATATAATATTCTGAATTTATTCCGATGCCACGGTCGGTTAATACGAGCAGAGAGCGACCATCGGCTGTTATGGTCGGCGCTTGAGTTCTGGTGGCCAACCGAAGGTGCCCGTTTTCAGTTGACCTCTTCGGCAAGTAAACACGATCATTTTGTTTCTTTACAAACTCCTGGACAATGAAAGTTTTCTCATCGGAGAAAACTAAATTCGGCAGTTCACCCCTTTCGGTCAAGCGAAGAAATTCTTTAGCTCTTTTGAGTCTATTTTCTTACTGTTGTGGTGTAAGTTCTTGCACGTTTTGGAATTTCAATGGCTTAACCCCGAGCTCATTCTCAATATTTGCGGAATGGAATATTACGATACGTTCAGCTAACGAGCCATTTTTCGGCCACTGCGACGCGGGGAATTCGATTAAGTTGCTTCTTTACTTTTCGAACCACTTTTTCTGGTAATGTTGCTGTTTTCTTCCGCCCACTTCTTCGACGTCGAGCTACTCTATCAGTATCACGGTAACGAGCGATGGTACGAGACACAAAAGATTTATTCTCATTTAAATACTGGAATGCTCTAACGATAGCCACTTCTGGTTCTCCAGCAAAATATAAAGAAATCACATTATCACGCTTGAATTCCATCACGAATAACATTTTTCTGAAAAATCCTCACCAAAATGCTTTTGTACGCTTGTAAACAATATAATGAGCTGTCACTGGTCGGTCGAGTGGCTTGGAAATAACAGTAGTCTGAATTTGGTTGCAGTTTTTTCATCCCACTCTGCATATCGAGAGTAGTGTTTGAAACGTTGGGCGCCACTTCTATGGAGTATTCGGGAAAAAAGGAGCAACCCCGTCACATAAGTCGAGATCGAAAAGGAAATAACAATAATGGTCTCTCAATACATTTTATACCGTCAACCATTCTTTATTTTTCATAGGAACATTGGGCGCCAGTGATATTTGCATGATATTGAGAAAAAACGATCCGTAGAGTAAATGGGAGATTTCATAAAACGAACAGATATAGTAGCCCTTGGATATATAGAGCCCCACCCACTGATAGCTATTAAAACATTAGGCTCTCGTGGTATGTTGAACGCTACAGCCAGTAAAGTAAGTCGTCGTCAGCCAACTAGATAGTAATACTGTACCATTAATTTTGTGTTAGAAACGTTGGGCGCCACTCTCATGTGGAATTCAGGAAAAATTTGACTTTCAGTTACTCCAGCCTTTTTTTATATTTAGAGGAGCTCGAGAAGACTACTCTCCTAGACTAGTAAATTGAGCCTAAAAATATGCATCATTTTTATCATTTTCATAGGGTCTCTAAAAATATTGCAGATTTGACTTTTTTCGGAAAATTATTTTACTAAAATTTATGGAATAGTATTTAATAATAAGATATCTTCACTCCACTGATTTCACACCCTTTTAACCATCAAATACAAATATAATATTTGTTTGTTAAAAATAGCTACATTTCTTGTGCGTTTCAAGTGCCAACAATGGAAATCAAAAAAGTTTTCCAATATTCAACTGATGTTTGGTTGAAGGGAAAAAAGAAACTTTTTGTGAAAGTTTAAAACACTCTGCAATTTTTGGCAAGAGGGGGGAGAATGTTGAAGGAAAAATTTTTCAAGCAATGGCTTGAATAAAAATGTGAAAAGAGTAGGGAGAGGGTTTAATATTTTTGAATAATTTAAAAAAAAAATTAAAGTTACAAAGAAAATCTTTTTTATTTTTTTTTGAAATATTAACGATATGAATTTATATTTTTTTATTTTGAATTTATAATATAAATTATAATAAAAATTACAAATAAAATCTTTTTTTTAATTTTTTTCAAATGTTAACGACATGAATTTATATTGTATTCCGAATAATTTCGTTATAACCTTGTGCCTCTTTTTATATTTATTTTTAATATACAACACATATTATAAAAAAAAGCCAATAACAATATTAATATTTTACCCCTTTCTCTTTTCTTTAATTACAGATGCCTATCAATCAAGCCACCAGAGAGGTAATGCATTTTGAGCTAATTTTACTAACAGCCAATACGAAGTTAAAAAAAAAACACACATTAAATTAAAACTAATCCAAAATCGATAACAAAATACCGAAAAACAAATACTTATTTTTTGCACCACAAAAAATGCGGGTAGAGCCCGCAGACAGTTGAAGTTTTAATTTTCATAGCAAGGTACAATTGCGATTAAACGGAAGTGACCTAAATAAGCAAAAGTCCTCGGAGAGGAATTTGCAAGAAAAAAAAAAAAAAACAACCATCGTTTGACAAACACGTTGGGCCACAAAACTGTTTTCAAAGTGAAAGGGCGCTAATGTGTTGACAAATGTTTCGGCACTAATCAGCCAGCCCATACTCAAGCAGAAGACACGAGGAGAATTTCTATAAAAAATATTGCTTTGAGGAATTTACCCCGAGAATGATGGCCAAAATTAAAAGGGAACATCAAAAAAGGATAAGATCAATAAAATGTTGAACACATAATAAAATAATTAGAGCAGAAAGTATTGAGGGAAGCCCAGGAAATGGGAGTTTGAAAAAGGCAATTTAAATTACAACTCACAAATTGTTTTCCAATAAATGTTCAAGTTTTTTTTTTGATTAAAATAAAAAATTTCAAAAGAATGACCTACATTTTTCAAACGGTACTTTTGGGAACCCATGCAGAGAAACTGGGGATCGTCAAAGACGATCTGTGGAAAATAAGAATTATTGGAGAGATCAGAAGATAACATCTTGGAGCGATTGTAGTTCATTTGAAACTGTGACTGTTTTGTGAAACTGTGACTGCTTCCAAGTGCTCTCGGAATGTATGAAGGAAGGCCCCGATCAATTTCAGTCCTTAATAGCTTTCAAAGACTCAATTATAAAATTCTGTTTGTTCGATCGAAAGCATTCCATATGGTCAACTGAAAGCCCCCGAAAAGTTACGATCAATTTCAGAAACGGCTCGAGATCAAAGACTCAATTATAGAATTAGCTTTGTTTGATCGAAAGCATTACATATGGTCAACTGTCCTAAGTTGGTCATAAAGGGATACTGGGCGCCAGCGCTATATAGAATAAAAAAAATGAACTCACCGATTAACTCGAACAATCGATGAGTTCACAGTAGGAACATTTATGGTTTCTCTTGGGTATTAAGAGGAAACGTTGATAAGAACTGGATGTTGAGAGTGATATTTGAAACGTTGGGCGCCACTCCAATGTGATATTCAGAAAAAAGGTGCATCAGCTCCGTAGTGTGAGATCAAAATTCAATTGAAGTCTTGCTCTACCAGAAGTATTTTACACGGTCACTCCCTTTTGAAAATTGTTGGAAGAAACGTTGGGCGCCATTGGTATGTGGAAATCGAAAAAAAAATCGATTTGGCCAGTAAATTGGAAATTTCCTAAGCCATGAAGTCATGGCAGCCCTTGGTTATTGGAAGGACTATAAACTGGCACCATTTGAAGTTGTTAAATGTCGAGACTCGTATTCAAATCGTTGGGCGCCACTTCTACGTGGAATTTGCTGTTAATAAGTCGATTCTTAGAGTGAATGAATAAATCAGCCACCCTTGAAGGTTCCAAAGACTTAATTATAGCTAGCCCTTGAATATTGAAAAATTGCCATTTGGCAATATTTGAAACGTTATATTATGATAGCCTCGGTATATCGAGAGAAGTGTTCAAAACGTTGGGCGCCACTTTTATGTGGTAATCGAAAAAGTCTCAGCCTCGTAAAATATGCCGAGAACAAAAAGAATCATGTTCAATCAATGCATTAAATGCAAAATTTGTTCAGGGAAAAATTGGAGCCAGTGATACTTGAAGTTCTAAAAAAAATATTACTGGTGTGAATCGGAGGTTTCATAAGACTAACAGTTATGGTATCCCTTGAAGCGATTGAAAGTTTTGGGCGCCAGTCGAATTTTGAATGGTACAAACAGACGAATAAGTACTAGTACAGCAATAGTAGACCATAAATGTTGTGTTAGACACGTTGGGCGCCACTCATATGTGATAAAAAAAAGCATGTGATTCGGTCTACTATTTCCAATTTTTTCGCGGAAAATTGGTTATTAAGAAGCCCATCCATTGGTAGAATTAGAAACTTTGGGCGCCACTTGTATATGGTATGCAAAAAACAGAAGCCCCAGCCCAACAGAATATGTCGAAATCACCGCTGAAATTTGTCGTTGTCGCATTTGATCCTGTCGATGTGATCAACCATCCCAACTTGTTTGGAGAAACTTTCAGAAAAAAAATTGAAGTTTCGTGAAGTGAACCAGAAAGTTTACGAGATGCTCAGTTAATCTAGCCATTGTATATTTAGAGGAGAACAGCAGGAAACCCCTTTGGCAACGTTTGAAACGTTGAGCGCCATTCGTATGTGGAATTAAATTAAATGCGAAATCATTTACTTGAAACCAAATACGGAATTAAAATCTTATTCTATCGAAGTCATTCAATACTGTCAAACAATTTGCTCGAGACATACGATTCGGTCAACAATTTTAAATTTTCCGTGGAATCGTTGCGAACGTAGAATTCATTAACAAGAAGTCCAACAACGTTATGTTAGTCGACTTCGGGCAAGTGGACACTCATAGCTGGGGTAAACGTTGGGCGTCAGTGTGTGGCATTCAAAAACACTGAAGTGGATTAGAGAGTTCATAACATTAATGGTAGATCGTGAATCTCGAAAATAGTATTCTCCAGATATATTTGGTGCCATTTGGGTGAATTTGGAATCGGTTGATATTTGAATTGAGGGGATCATAAAACCCACAACTTTTCATACAATTATCTTCCGAAGGGTTTGAAATGCGCCCGTCGTTGTTCTATCAAAGACATTCCAAATTTATCAGGAAAATAATACGTAGTTCCATGGAGTGAATAAGGAGGTTAAATAGACTTACAAGTATCGTAGTCCTTGAAGGAAAAAAATTAAATTTTTTATGGGGAAATTATCGGTTAAGAAAATTGGAACCTTCTTCCAGTGAAAGTATTCAATGCGCATTCAAACGTTGGGCGCCACTTGCATGTGCAACAAAATAAGTCAGAAGAGAATCCCATGACCACCTTTATGATCTAGAGATAAAGAGAGGTCGAGAGCAGCATCAGACAGAGAGTTGCTCTTTATGTTCTCTCGTTGTTATTCTCTCATTACAGATAGGTCAAGAAAAGCCTCGGAGAATCACACTTTTATTTTTTTTTCTCAATTTTGTTACTCTCTGATCAAATTGCTTTTTAATTTTGATTGTGGGAGTAGAGAGCTTTATGCTCATTGATGCACGCATGCCTGCTTTCCCCTGGCCCTGGTCTAGAGATACAAACTTAAATCTCTTAATTATTAGAGCCAGCAACGTTTTCGTTAAGAACGTTACTTACCAAAGCAAACTTTAGCGGCTTCCGATTTTTTGAATTGCGATTGAAGGAACGATGCCTCATATTCTCATCCTGCCTCATATCCTGCATTGAGCTAGGACATTACTACACTCTGCTTCTCCTCAGCTTTCCAGCTAAATGCATTCACCTGCCTCTAACCTCACTTTGGATCTAGGCAATTTAAATTGCAGTTTTTTGTTCCATATATTTTATATTTATAGCTAAATTATAGCCACATGGGACATCCCTGTATTCTCTATAAACAATTTAAAAAGAACATCGGAAAGGACTTTTTAAATATTGCCAACATTTGCCCAACAACATTGCAATTATTTTTTTGCAGCTGTCTTCAATGTGATCGATGCCAGAATTATTCAAACATAACCCTTGCCGATGTAATATTCCAGTAGCTTCTTTCTTTTGGGGTTGAGGTCTCCATTTGTCTTCTCCATTTTCTCCCCCCTTTAAAATTCGATCAATTCTGTTGTTTGTTCCCTTCAATTAATCACTTAATTTTCACATCAGAATGACATAAATTGTAAATCGATGCAATTGACCGCAATTTGGCGTGTGCTTTATGTTTCATTTCGCTTTTTTGAAACAGAGATCAGACTTCTTTATGTTCTGTTCTTCGTATCTCCCCCCTCCTGTTGCAGTTTTTGAGACAAACGACGTTTACGTTGTTCTTCTCTCGGTGACAAAAGAGATCCAACCATTCATTCAGTCAACCAGCCAGCCAGCCATCTAGCCAGCATTTCAATTTGATCTCTGGCAAGTGATCTGATCACAAGTGACACATGGCTTGAGGTTCAGTTTTGTCTGATGTCTGGGCTGCCTGCTTGCCAACCTAACTGCGACGACAACGACGATCAATGCAATGGATTTTTGTTGTTTTTTTGGTCCAGACCACCAAGCAGTGCGCCATTGAAATACCGCATTTGTTTGGTTCCAAGTTGGTTGGTAGGTTGTTCGCTTGATTGGTTGGCTGGGCTGGTTGTGTTGAATGGGGGGAATGGATGAGGAGGAGGAGGAGAAGAATTACTCCATCGTAATGCAATTCTTTGTGATGTCGTTACAGTTTGTTAAGTTTAAATGCGGCTTAAATGCTATTTTGCGGTCCGCTCTGTCCGTCCCTCCGTCCGTCTGTTCATTTCATACGTAAATAAACGTATACTTTGTTTAACTGTCATTTAATTTTTGTATTGTTGTTATGGCCCGTCTCTGATTTCTTTCATAAACCCCTCCTAATGTGGAACCCCGACTTTTGAAGGCAAAAGAAACCGCACAAAATGCAAATTTGTTTGCAAACCAAAATAAAGACAGGCGGACGGACAGACAGACATACCGACCGACACACACAACAAAAGAGAAGATAACAAAGTTTAGTCAAACATTAATTGTGACAAATGATGTTTAAACCAATATAAATCTAAAATGACAAGTGCGATTTGGCTTTGCAACAATATGTTGCCAATCAGCAACAACAGCAACAACGGATTGGGTCAAGGTTTTCTTTACAACCAAAATACTTAGATGAATACGGCAATATTTTCCTTGAGAAATATAAAAAAATTAAGTTAAATTATTTGTGGGTGGCACCATTGCCGAAGAGTTTCAGCGAT